GAACGGAGTATGAAAAAATGTGAATGGGACAGGGTGAACAGTCACAGCCAAAAGCCTTTGTTCCCCCATAGGGCTCACTCTTGATGTTGGACATCCTCAAAACAAAAACACGGTCCTCCCGTTGTTCATCGATTTGCTCGAGCGGGCCCAGTAACGTCTCCATCATGAGACTTGTTGTTACTGTGTTTGGCATATCGAATATGTCACAGGTAGCTTGCCAGGCTCTGCCGTGCGGGCAAGATACTCTCGGTAGCTTGCCGGGCTCTCCGAGAGGTGTGGAGGAATCGAACTCGGGTCGGCCACTTGTAAGGCAAACACCCTACTGCTGTGCTATCGCTCCTCCGCCCCTCTCGGAGATCCTCAGTTTCAACAAATGTCCAGTGACTGCCCATGCTCTCCCTTACAGTATCATACAGGGTAGTTTGATTCCCCTAAAAGTTCTCTGTACTGCACTTATTCATCCTTCCCTCTACCCTAACCCCCAGAGTATGAACTGTTACAATGCTGTAATTAGTTCTTCAGTTTTTTCTCATGCTCTACTCCATTTACTGCAGTTATCACAAACAATATTTTAGTGATTTCCTTCTCTAAAAATATTTATAGAGAAAAACTGTAAAACTTGCCTGTATTATGTCCAGGACATAATCTACTTATCAAAATTTAATTGTTAAGGGGGAACTATTGACCAGACAAGGAATCTGCGAGTATGAGCAGCTACATGCCTGAGAAAAGACTTCAGGTGACCAGGTGTAAACTGAAGGCGTTAGCTGAGTCATTTAAGGGGAAGTCATGAAGGTCAGCTAGACCACAAAGATAAGTAACACAATGAGTTAGAGGTGGAATAACGTGATATGATTGGCATTCATTCCCCTACTCTCCTACAAAAGGACTGTCAAGAACGGTGTGTGTATATTACCAGACCTCTCCCCGCCCCGACGGACCCAGCCCCAGTAGTCAAAAACCTCCAGAACTCAACCGCCACCACGTTCACAGCTGCTCTTCACACACTTGGCTGGGTCTCACCCATGAGTGAATCTATTTCTGGACATCTTGTACTTTATACCACCAGTATACCAAGAGTATAGTGAGACTGGGAAGTAGTAGGAGGATGCCCAGGTGGAGGAATAGCACAAACACCTGTCCTCTCTGGCAGACAGACACTCGGGCTACCACCCTGGGTAAAGCAACTCACAGCACACAGCCTCTCTGAGATGGGCTTTGGAAGCTTTGCTGCTTCCCACAGTCCTTCCAAGTTGGTACTTGTGGTAGCCTTTCAGATCACTCAGAAACACTGATATCTTTGCTTTCTGAGGCACTTTTGCTCTTTATGTCTACTTAAAAGAGTTCCTAGAGCTGCCTTTATTGTATTTTGAATTAGTTCATTGAGAAAATAAGATGGAAGTCAAAGAGAAGATGAGCATGAGACAGTTCCAGGGATGCCTGGGACAGGAGCATGCAGATGGACACAGGTCACTGCAGGGCCATAAGAGAAACAGTGGACCCAACTCACCAGACTCATTCTTGGCTCAGTGAGTGTAGGAAGGGATGTTGTGATTTCCAGGGACAGCTGCACTGGAAAAGGAAGCTTCCCAGGCTAGGCTGCCTCATGGCTGTCTTGGGTTGTGTCACTGTACAGCGGAGAGGTGATGGTCAGAGGGTCACTGTATCGAGGGAGGCTGGAAGGGCTACCAGTGAAAGTCCAGAGCATTTGTTGGCTGCCTGAAGCCACATTAACTGGAATGATGGATCTGTAAATTCTCTTTAAAACAATCCCTCACAATCCTATGTGGTTGTCCTCCAGAAGTGTTTGAGTCTTATGCTGGCTCATTTGTGCACACTGTGAATACTGCACCAGCTCGCCACATGGCTGCTGGATTGCAGACACGGGAGATGCCTGTCTGATGTCAGGGGGGCGCAATAGTGCATTGCCTTGCACAGGGCTGACCTGGGTTTGGTCCCTGGCACGCCAGTTGGTCCCCCAAGCCTGCCAGGAGTGATTCTGGAGCGCAGGGTCAGGAGTAAGTTCTGAGCAACGCTGGGTGTGCCCCCCAAACAAAAACAAACAAAAACTTTGGCTATTTTTTTAAAATGAAATACATTTTTAGGGCTTCAGCTAAGTATTACTAAATTTAGTAGGAAATCTGGAAGTTTTCCAGATTTTCATCAATTTTATATCTTTACCACAAAACATTTATTCCGAAAGTTAATCCTCTGTACAAATTGGACAGGCAGAGCTCCCAAAACTGGGATGGAGCAACTGAGGAGAGTAAATCACAATTTAGTGAGTGTAAAAGGCACAACAATTAAAGAGGCATTAGCAGTGATTAACAGCTCTGAGTAAGCCCTCTGAGGTTCCAAATTATGCTCTCCTGCTGCCATGACTGTGGGGTCCAATTTGAGCAGGTCGAGTCATCAGCCACAGAAGCCAGGATTTGTGCATTTGCATAGCAATTCCCTTCCCTGCCTCCTTAGCCATTAGGTAAGAAGGAGTAAGAAGTGCAGGTATGAGAAATGAGGGGAGCATACCTCGGGAGTTGTCTAGAGCCCGGGGACTGCTGCTGTGGTTCTCAAGGTGTGGCAGGTGACCGGGCCAGGTGGGTACAAAATTGAGGCAGACGCTACTGCTACTGTCCTCTGCCCTTCGCTCTGGGCAGCACCTGACTGCAGTGTGGCTACTGGCCATTACCTCAGATGGTCCCTGGAGTCTTGGCAAGAGTGATCCTGAGTGATCACAGAACCAGGAATAGCCCTGAGAACAGTAGGGGTAGCCCAAAAGGCCAAAAACAACCAGAAAAGGCCATAATGTGAACTTGGGTAACAGATGAGACTCCAATTCTAAGAACCAGCTTTTATGGATGGGTCTAAGTGGTTCCAAAGTCAGTTTCAGTGGCATGTTGATTGGGAGCCAAGTTTGAGTCTTTCCTGTCTTGCTTTCTCTCTTCCCTAGCAGAGAGCTAGACAGATCGCTGCTATTATTGGGGAAATTGGCACTGTTGTAAAGTGTGCAGCATATGCTCAAGGGCAGTCTGTAATATGCCACTGTGAGACACGTGATGATGTTTTTATCTTCGTCGGTGACTTTTTCAGCTGCCTTGAACATTGTGTCTAACACTAAGACTGGTAATTTCAAAGAAAGGCTTCATGGTTAAAGGCCGTTCTCACTCTGGTTTTCCTACTTTTCATTTTACTTTGCTTTTCTGAACTTCGTTGACATTGTGACTTCATTATTGCCACAATGGTTAGACTCTCCAGTAGGCTTCCAAGAATAAGTTGATGTGTTTTGAGTGTGTTTTTTTTCCCCCTCACTCTGGGTTGGGAGAACCCTTAGGGAATAACAGCGGAGGTGGGAACAGCTAACTAAGTCACAGAAACCTAGACTTCTCTTCATTCTAACGCAACACTAGCAGAGGAACCTACATGGTAAGGTTACTACTTGTCCAGACAAAGCATTTGCAATAGAATGGTTTATGTAGAGACTTTCCTTAGTGCACACACCCAGACTTTTTGCATTTGTTGTGTTCTTGTGGGGGACATGCATTCTCTTCATATTGTTCTGAGATTGTGCTTGGAGTGATATTCAACGAGATAACGCATATCTCTGATCCTAATCACTACATGGACTTTTGTGAGTGTGGATGTATAAGTGCATGTTTACATATGTTTATTATAATTTATTACAATAGAGTTCCTTTTCACATAGCACCTGCAAGTATGAACTGAAAAAATCTTAACGACATATAGCATTTTCTGGTAATACACATACACCATTCTTGACAGTCCTTGTGTAGCAGAGTAGGGGAATGAATGCAAATCTTATCACATTATAACAGCTCTAACTCACTGTGTTATTTATTTCTGTGATCTAGCTCACCTTCATGACTTCTCCTGAAATGACTAAGCTAAGGCCTTTAGTTTACACTTGGTCACCTGAAGTCTTTTCTCAGGCATGTAGCTGCTCCTACTCGCAGATTCCTTGTCTGGTCAATAGTTCCCACTTAACAATTAAATTTTGATAAGTAGATTATGTCTTGGACATAATATAGACAATTTTTATAGGGCTGGAGCCATAGCACAGTGGTAGGGTGTTTGCCTTGCGTGCAGCCAGCCCGGCCTAGCCGGGTTCGATTCCTCCGCCCCTCTGGGAGAGCCCGGCAAGCTACTGAAAGTATCTCGCCCGCACAGCAATGCCTGGCAAGCTCCCGGTGATGTATTCAATATGCCAAACAAAGTAACCACAAGTCTCAAAATGGAGATGTTACTGGGCCAGCTTGAGCAAATTGATGAACAATGGGAGGACAGTGCTACAATGCTTTCTATAAATATTTTTAGAGGAGGAAATCACTAAAATATTGTTTGTTATAACTGCAGCAAATGGAGTAGAGCATGAGAAAAAAAACTGAAGAACTAATTGACAGCATTGTAATAGTTCATACTTTGGGAGTTAAGGTAGAGGGAGGGATGAATACATGCGGTATAGAGGACTTTTAGGGGAATCAAACTACTCTGTGTGATATTGTAAGGAAGGGCATGAGTCACTGGACATTTGTTGAAACTGAGGATGTCTAACATCAAGAGTGAGCCCTAAGGGGAACAAAGGCTTTTGGTTGGGACTGTGTGAGTGGAGGTTCTTGGTGTGTAATTCATGCACCACGGGAGTGCAGGACACTGTGTGGAGAGTGGGGCTTGAGCTGGGTTCTACACGTGTGGTGTCAAGATGCTATATGAAAAATATATTTACATACCGGGCAGGCTTTGAGTCTAAAACTGTGCTAAAGAATGTCTGATGCAAAGTGAATTATGCCCCCTGGCATTTCAGAAGCCTGGAGAAAATGAACTGAAATTCAGTTTCCTGTCCCCAAATGATTGATTTCCCAATCTGGGAGGTCTGTAGGCCCAAACTGTGTTGCTTGCACACATCAAGAGCTACATTCTTGGGAAGTATGGAAAAGTTAGATCTTTGTTTACGCTTCTACTGATACTTGCTTTCCACCTGCCTCTAGGTTTGAAGTTTGAGGAGCTCCAAGAAAGGTTTGGAGAGGAATTCTTCAACATATGCTTTGATGAGAATGAAAGAGTCCTTCGGGCTGTTGGTGGTACATTGCAAGACTTCTTCAATGGCTTTGACGCTTTGCTGGAACACATTAGAACTTCTTTCGGGAAACAGGCCACCCTGGAGTCCCCCTCCTTCCTGTGCAAGGAGCTGCCTGGAGGTTCTCTGATGCTCCACTACTTCCATCCCCACCAGACCGTGGGCTTGGCCATGCTGGGGATGATCAAGGCTGCTGGAAAGAAGATCTACCGGCTGGACTTGGAAGTGGAGCAGGTCGCGAATGAGAAAACGTGCTCTGACGGCGCAGACTTGGACAACTGCAGCTGCCTCACTTTCTCCATCAAAGAATGCGAGAACAGCAACAGCAGGAAGAACCTTGCCCCAGGGGCCTCACAGACGCCCGAGGACCTCAGGATCAGCATCAGCACCTTCTGCAGGGCCTTCCCGTTCCACCTGATGTTTGACCCCAGCATGGCCGTGCTGCAGCTGGGGGAAGGCCTGAGGAAGCAGCTCCGCTGCGACCCCCACAAGGTGCTCAAGTTCCAGGATTGCTTCGAGATCGTGTCTCCAAAGGTGAACGCCACCTTTGAAAGGGTCCTGCTGCGGCTGTCCACCCCTTTTGTGATTCGGACCAAGCCCGAGGCCTCTGGCACTGAAAATAAAGACAAGGTGAGTGGCCATGGATCTGAGCTGGGTGAGGGGGATGGTGGTCTCACACAGTCGCTCACCGGCTGGCCTTGCAGTTACTTAGACGAGAGAGCTTCAAGCGCCATTTACGAAATTACTGGGCCCTGGGTGTATGTAAAAAGATTTGGCTCTGTTCCCAGCCATTTTTCATAGTATCTGCCTCTTCCATTAATTTATTTCAGCATATAAAAAGAAGACATTTATTAATACTAACCACAGTAATTATAAAAATGACAGGACTCACTGAAAACCTAATACTATAAACTCATGAAAATTGCCCTGGTTTGTGAAACTGAGAGAAATGGTGAGACCGATTTCAGTGCTGTGGGGCCGGTGGTCATTTCCTCAAAGGAGCACAGGTAAAGGAGACAGCTGTATCTGGAATAGATTCTCTTCGACGTTTCATAGCATAGGAACACTTTATTCATAACCTATTTCTGTCTTAGAATGCCAACTAATGTATTCCATAAAAAGTCCTGGAAGTCTCAGGACTACTGATTAGTTCTAGCATTGAACTAGAGAGTCATTTCCTTTTTTTTTTCCTTTTTGGGCCACACACAGTGGTGCTCAGGGGTTCCTTCTTGCTCTGCACTTAGGAATTACTCCATTACTCCTGGCGGTGCTTGGCGGAGCATATGGGATGCTGGGGATTGAACCTGGGTCGGCTGCGTTCAAGGCAAAAGTCCTTCCCACTGTGCTATTGCTCTGGCCCCTAGAGAGTCATCTCCACAGGACACGGTCCCTCACTCTTTGAAGGAATACAGTGAACACTTAACATCCTCACTGTGAATTGCTTTGATTCTCTTTTGGGAAAGTCTGGGTTTGTTTTTGTTTCATTTTTGGGCTCACCCAGGTGTGCTAGGGCTCACTTCTGGCTCTGTGTTCAGGTATCACTCCTAGTGAGCTCATACGGGGTGCCAGGGATAGAACCTTGGCTGGCTGCATGCAAGTCAAGCTCCTTACCTACTTTACTATCACTCCTTCCATCCATCTGAGTTATGAGTTATGCATAAATAATAAAAACGCAATTTAAATAAATCTTAGAATAGTTGAGTTTAAGCTAGCATTTTTTTGCATACAAAGTATTTTAAAGAAAGTTCAGCACTTCAGTCAGTAATAAAATGCAAAGAAATAAAGCACATCTATTTTCAGTATGCTTTTAAATGATTTGAAAAGAAGTTATTTTCTGGAATAGACATCTGACTGCACATTCTGTTTTCCGTAAACTTCTCTCTAATGTTTCACACAGAATAAAGTTATTTAAGGCTATTCAGTTTGTTCCGAAGCATTTTGGGAAGCTTTCGGCTGCCAGAGATGACCGCACTGCTCAGGGCTATAAGGAGGAAGAGTAGCAGAAGCAGCCCTCAGTGATGAGTGCCTTGCGGACACTCCTGAGTGCCTGCAACAGTGCCTGAGGGAACTTCCCATGGGCAGAGCTAAAGGCATTTCTCTGGAGTTTCCATAGTATTAGTGGCATCATTCATTAATTCGTGTCACTTTGAAATTCGGCAGAAAATTCTTAATATACCTGAGAAGAATTGGATGATAACCATTTATTCAAAATGACCAAATCAAGTGATTCAGGAGAGTCTTTCAGTAATGACTTAGGAACATACAGGCATAAATCCTAAGATTCTGATTTAGAATATTTCAAAATTTTAGTGTGATGAGTTTTATTTGTACTTATATATTATTTTAAATAATCTTTCACATTTGCTTATATATAAAGTATGTATTTAATAATTCCCCATTTTTAAGCTCTTAACAATGGAATGAGTTGTTAAATGTGTATTTTGGTCCATAATTTATAATTGCTTTAAAATTAGAATTGTACTCATTATGATTTAGGGATCGTTAAAGCTCTTGGTTCTATTTTATAGAAGTACAATATTTGAGTAGGAGGATTTGAGAATTTTGGCCTTTGAAATTGAAGTTAATATTCTTGAAAATATGCCCGAAGTAGAATATATTATTACCAATTTTCAGTGCTTTGTATATCTTTGTAGATTTCAGGAAGATTAATTCAGTTTAAAGTTATTGTTTCAGATTTTCCTCCCTATATTTCATCTGGCTTATATTTCTATTTAATTTATATACCGAGGTAGGAATTAGACATAATGAAATGATGACTCAAATGTCCAGACCTCCTGCCAGTACTAATATTGAGGAGCTGTGCTCATTACGAAGGTGCAGGTATAGCTCGGACCCTCTCCTGGCAGTTTAAAAAGAAAGCAGCAGGGAGCATTTTCAGTGAGAGAGAGGACTGAGCCGCTGCCCCTGTGTTTATGTGTCTGTTTGCTCACTGGGGACACTGGGAGGTCGAAGTGGTGTCAAAGAGTGGGCTAGGGAATCTTAGCAGGATAGTAATGTGATGGCCAGATTCTTTGGTAAAACATGGAAGTAAAAAATTCAAAATGATCCTAGGCATTTAGAAAATGAGGTGAAAAAAAACTTTAAAATAAAATAATCACCTAAAAAAAAATTCAAAATGATGATGGTGTTTTGCTGATCAATTTAACCCTGCTAGATGACCTCCCATAACTTCTTACAGAATACCTGTTCTTAATCATTGTTGCCTAAAGTCTTTAATTATTTGGTCAGCTTTGATAAGAAAGTGCAAATTTATAGTAATTTTGGAAATCTGTTGCAGATGCTGACAGTGAAGACTTTTATGGTGACGTGACTATTTTGGCCATGCACATCACACTAATGAACCAATGTCCTTCCATCCAAAATAAAAACTTAGAATCTAATTGTGTAGCCATATGTCAATTAATGACTTGCACAATGAAATGCTTTGGCTGCACTTTGATCTTTGTCATTGTGTGTTGTCCTCAAGTGTTGGAGTAGGGAATATACCTGCGAACAGTATCACACTGTGGTGATGAGTTACACCTTAGTTGACTGCCAGAAACAAGGATGCCAGGGATCCCCCTCAGATGTGGGAGGAGTTGACTGGCTTCCCTGAAGGAACTTCCCGATGGCTCAGTCTAAACTCAGATTCCTGTGACCTGGTTTCTATGAGCTCTGCAAATGGTCATCCATATTCTTCTCTCTCCTTCTCAGTTTTCTGTGTTTAGCATTCCTGTATTTTCATATTATTTTCCACTTTCTTTCCCGTTTCATCTTTCCTTATCAGATGTTAGCCATCAAATAAATGTGACTGAGTTAATTCATTATTTAAAAAATAGACCAGGGACCAGAACAGTAGTTGCATGCAGGCCAACCCGATTTTGATGCCTGGCACCCATATGGTCCCTCGAGCCTGCCAGGAATAATTCCTGAGCATCTCTGGGTGTGACCCACAAACAAAAGCAAAAATTAAAAAAAGAAAAGACCAACATTTGGAATGAAGAATGAAAAATCAGGCCATACTTGTTTGTTTTGTGTATCTTTCTGATGGTTCAAATCTAATATTGATTTGAGAATTTAGAAGTTCCTTTGAAGCCCTGCATTTGAATTTGAGGGATAAAAATGTTGCAATCCAGCATATGTTTGGGCATTTAGATTTAGTATAAACCAAACACACTGAATCTAATTAGATTCTAAAGCAGGAACTGTGTAGATAGGGATGTCAAAATTGTGTTTCTTCGCATTATAAGGTCACAAGATGTAGAGAAAGTGCCAGCAGGCGGGAGGGAGAATTGTCTGCCAGCCATTATTTTTGTTAAGTTTCTATAGTCTGCGCCTCAGGTTTATTTAACTGGAAATTAAGAAATGGAGACTTATAACTGATATTTTTTCATCTTGTCAGTCTTCCTTTATACATATAAGGAAGTAAAGTAAAGGCCCTCCCGTTGTTCATCGATTTGCTCGAGCGGGCCCAGTAACGTCTCCATTGGAGACTTTGTTGTTACTGTGTTTGGCATATTGAATACTCTCGGTAGCTTGCCGGGCTCTCCGAGAGGGGCGGAGGAATCGAACTCGGGTCGGCCATGTTGGCTGCGTGCCAGGCAAACGCCCTACCGCTGTGCTATCGCTACAGTGATTTGCCTTGCACGCAGCCAACATGGCCGACCCGAGTTCCTTTATGCATATATGTATGTATATATATATATGTGTATATATATAAATAGATATATGGGCTCTCATGAACATGAAGCTTCCGATCATTTCTGGTTTATTCTAATTCAGATATATTTTCAGGGGGCACAGGGGTATCTGATCAATTTTTTAAATCATGACTAGCTCATTCTGTTGTCAAGATTAAGTTATAACAATTCTGATCATTGAGCTGTTTTGTCTTTGATAGTTGTTATGTAATATAGCACTGTAGCACTGTCCTCCCATTGTTCATCGATTTTCTTGAGCGGGCATCAGTAACGTCTCCATTGTGAGACTTGTTGTTACTGTTTTTGGCATATCGAATACATCATGGGTAGCTTGCCAGGCTTTGCCATGCGAGTGGAATACTCTCAGTAGCTTGCCGGGCTCTCCGAGAGGGGTGGAGGAATCGAACCTGGATCGGCCGTGTGCAAGGCAAACGCCCTACCTGCTATGCTATTGCTCCGGCCCAATAATCCATGTAAAATGTCATGTAAAAGGTCAGTCCCAGGACTAAGCATGAAATAAATCAGTGTGCATTACCGTTACTTCTACCCACTATCAATAACTATCTTTTCTTTTCACATACTTCATTCTTCTATCTTCCCCCCATAACCCCTGCCTTACAGTAGACAGAATTGGAGTTGGTAGCTTTCGTGCCTTTTGAGGAACACTCTAAGCCCACTGAACTTTCAGGCTTGCACTAGTGGGTCTGATAAACACTGGAAGTGACTGTGAGATCCTAGGATCACCAGCTGTCACCCCTTTAAAGATATTACCAGGAAGCCAGAGCCATAGTACAGTTTCTGGGTGTTGCCTTGCATGTGTCTGACCCGGGTTTGATTCCTGGCACCCCGTACCATCCCCCTAGCCTGCCAGGAGTGATTCCCAAGTGTAGAGCCAAGACTAAGCCCTGACACAGCCCAATGGGACCCCTA